CATAATTATATTTAATGCTTTCTATTTCAGCATTATGAATGTTATTTAAATTTTCAAGATTTTTTTCCAAACATGCAGCATCTTGTGCACGTTGAAGTAAAATGTTATATGTTTGGGAATCAATAGAAATATAAGAAATATCAGATTGTAAATCCATTTTTTAATAAGTAAAAAAAAAAGGTTTTTAATAAAAAAAATGTGTAATTTTTTTTGTTGACGATATATTTTCAAGTGGATCAGCTTTGCTGACTTTTAAAAAAAGGAGACTTAAGAAAATAAGCAAAAGATTATTTTAGGTATATATATATTTTTAAATATATTTTATTTTTAATTATTCTTTGTCTAAATTTTCTTTATTTTAATTATTCTTTGTTTAAATTTTTTTTATTTTAATTACTTCTTTGTTTTATTTTTAATTCTAAATTTATTTTTTTGTTTTATTTTCTTTTTTATATTTTATTTCTTTGTTTATTTCTTTGTTTTTTTTATACATTTTATTTCTTTATTTCTTTATATTTTTATATATTTTTATATTTTTTTATTTCTTTGTATTTTTTTATTTCCTTGTATTTCTTTATTTCCTTGTATTTCTTTATTTCTTTATATTTCTTTATTTCTTTTTATTTTTTTAATTTTTTTAATTTTTTTTATTTCTTTATTTTATTCTTTGTTTTTTTTTATTTCTTTATAAATTTTTATTTTATTTTTAATTGAATGTTAAATATAACTTTCTTTTTTATTAAATGCTAAATCGGAAGCTTAATTTTATTTTTTAACATTAAGCTCCGGTTTCTTTATTAAATGCTAAATTGTAACTTTCGATTTTCGATTTTTGCTGAAATAAAAATCGATCACTTAAATATATGGAAATTTTACTATGAATTTGTCTGCACGAGTGCTGCACATTTGACGCATGGGTGATACAAGGGTGACGCAAGAATGCCGTAGGGGTATTGCATACATAAGGTAAGGAGAACATCTCCCATGTCATTTATTTCGGGAAAAAAATCTCTGCTATATTATGCGGCAGAAGTTGCAGCGGCACACTGTGGCTGATGGCGGCGGCATGCTGTGGCTGGAGGCTAATGTTGCGACAGCTAGTGATATAATAGAAACGGTAGCATCTTGTACTGTGGCATCGATACAGAATGTTGTACAGTGCTGTGCGGCGGCATATAATACTGTGGCGTCATGTACGGTGGCGTCTTGTCTTGCAGCACGTTATGCGGCAGTGTATCACGTTGTGGCATTCAATTTAACATGTTGTACAGTGGCGTCTCATGTTGCGGCATCATTACATCGTGTTGTATGGAGTAAAGATTTTTTTCCCGAAATAAATGACATGAGGGGTGTTCTCCTTACTTCACATATGCAACACCCCTACGATATTCTTGCATCACCCTTGCATCACCCATGCGTCAACTGTGCAGCACTCGTGCAGACAAATTTGTAGTGAAATTTTCATACTTGTTATGTTTTTAGTGATCGGATTTTATTCCGGTTTATATTTCGGAAATAAAAAGTTCGATCAGCAATAAAGTCACATGTTTGCATTTATATAGGAGCTCTCATTATCTGGAAATTTCGCACAAATTCCCCTGTGTGGTATGCTGCACAGGTAACACAGGTAATGCACAGGTGATGCACAAGTGCCGTAGGAGTGTTGCATACACGAGGTAAGGAGAACACCCCCATGTCATTTATTTCGGGAAAAAAATCTTTGCTGTTGTACGGTACTATGCGGCGGCATTCATGTAGCGGCAGTGTGGCATAATGCTATACGGCAGTGTCTTATCTATCAGTGTGGCGCATTCTATCCAGTGGCGTTTAAGTCTTCAGGTGCTCTAGTGGCAATATCTCATTGCGGTGTCATCCTGTTGATGCAGCGGCGGCATCTGGCGTATACAGTAACGTCCCATCGGTACGGCGGTTACCTCGTGTTATGGCAGCACTGGGCACATGTGGGGACAACTTCGTGCTGTGGCGATGTCACGTCAATGCGGCAGCGATTTTATATCGTGTGACATCCGGCACTTCAAGTGGCAACTTCATTTTGCGGCAACGTCCCGTTGATACAGTGGCAATCGTATATTGCGGCGGCATCCGGCGCTTATAGTGGTAACTTCGTGTTATGACAGCGTCCTGGTAGTGCTGCGGCAATCGTATATTGCGGCAATATCTGACACTTGTGCTGGCATCCCGGCGATGCTGCGATGACCTCTTGTTCTGGCGGCATTCGGGGTATCTTGCGGCATTCTGGTTATGTCATGACATCCTCGTACTATGGTGGTGTCCGGGGTGTATTGCGGCATCTGGAGCATATCCCAAGTTTGGCCTATGTTACAGCGTTTCGACGGTGCTGTGACGACCTTATGTCACAGCGGCATCGGGTATATCTGGTGTCGTTCCGGTGGTACTTTGGCATCCAGAGCAGTTGGTATCGTTCCAGTAGTACGATAGTGTTTTTGCGCTATGATGGTGTCCTTGCGTTATAGTAGTATCCTTCACTTTGTGCTATGTTTCGCTATTGTGTAATATAATGTACCATTTACCTTCAATCTGGTGCATTGTACGGTTGTATCATATGATATGGTCATTTATATTTTATCCTAAGCCTTTAAAAATACCTATGGAGCAATTTATTAGTAAGAGTATCATTGATTGATTTCTTCTTGTTAATCAAATTTTCATATTTGTTGCATCATCATGTTGTTACAAATTTGATTATTATATTCTGCAGGTCATAGTTGATTTCAATTTAGCAAGTTGTATTATTGATCTACATTCCTGTTTTTCATTATTGTTATATTGTTATTGTTCATTATTGTTGCCATGTGTTGTTATTGTCATTATCATATGGTATCATTGTTGTTATGTATTGCATTGTTATAACCATATGTTGTAGTCTTTTTCAATTACTTTCTAAATTACTGATTGATGCAAAAATTCCAAGAATTTTTATATTTATTGTATAGTGTTCTGATAAAAAATCTTTTCAATAATTTATTACAATTATTATCAAGAAAAAATGCCTTATACCAACAGAATGATTTGCACTACCCAATACTCTAATGTTATGACTGGTTATATCATTATTCTCCAAGAGCAAATAAAGATCCTTTATCAATACATTGCTGTCTATAACTATTCTGAATATCAAAAACCTTTGATAGAGTTGTTAAAGCAATTAATAGAATTTCAAGAAAAGATTTTCAAACTGTATGTTCAATACAAAGAATACAGAAGAATTTTGTCTATTGTCAGGATGAAAGATCAGAAAGTGATAATTAAATATATACAGAGAATCAAGATTCTCTTAAAAATAAATGTTGATAGACTCCATTGTAAATTAATCCAGTAAGAAGTCTTGAGACAAGAAATAATCTTCTTGTGTAATTATATGGACAAGTTAGAAGTTGAAATAAAAAAAGAGTCTAAAGAAGTTTCTAGCAAGTGATTAGTTTTTTGGATTGTAAATATTAAAAAAAGTCCTTTCAAGTAGGTGTTAAATGAAACCTAAGTCTTCATAAATCCTGATGCAAATTTTGGGCAAGATCTTAATAATTTTAAGTGGTATATTTCTGATAACAATCTTTTTAATTTTGTACTTGTGAATAAAAGTTCTTTTTCAGATATAGAAATATCAGAGAATGAATAAAGCTGTTTTTTTGTTTATATTGTTTTATATTAATACTATATCAAATTACTATAATGTTCTGTGAGCCAGTAACAATGTGACAATATAATAATATTCAGTAGGTCCTTGTCACACTAATATTAATTTCAAAATTTTTAAACTACAAAATTCCTTATATAATTAGATATACTTATATAAAAAAATAAGTATAATAAGATCTGTGAGTCTATAGTGCAGTAGTTAGCACTTCACAGGTCAGATCACAAGATACCAGTTTAATCCCAAGTGAAGGTGATTGAATAGTTTCATATGGTATTTGGTACTATAACCTGTTATATGCTGTTTTTCATGCGAAGCCATTTTATATGCTGATCCAGTAGGTGTTGAAATTGTGTTCTCTGAAAAAGATGTCATGTAGTATTGATTGTCTGGTTGGTGTTATGATGATCAACATTGCACTTGGTGCATTTCCCAGTTCCACATTGGTTACTTCCTTCCCTATAGTTCACAAGATTATAAAAGAAAAAAAAAATCCTGTTGACTCCATTAGGCAACTAATGATCACCTTCAGGTTGAAACCCTACAGGACATGCTTAGAGATTCATAGCTACTTTACAGGAGTTGTGCCCTGCTTGATATTTGTATCCCTAGATTTGGCAGCTTAAGCCAACTAAGAAACCTATCGGAGTGTTTACTGGGAGAGTAAGGAGTAATCTTTAAAAAGTTGTACTCCACTTGGCCAGCAACCAAGCCCCCAGATTTGATAGTGTATGCCAACTGTAGAAATTCTTGAAGCATTTACTAGGAAATGGAAAGAAGTAAGCTCCATGATATTAAGTATGTGAGTTGTCAGGTTGAGTGATAGGAAACCCTAGTGATGGCTAACAGATTAAAAAAAAAAAAAAAACAAAAAGTTCTCTGAAGTTCATACTTGGATATGAACCTACCTCTATGGTGAAAGTTGGCACTTGAGTTAGAATAAGGGTGGTGTATTAGTTAAACATAGACTGTTCATGTAATGGTTAGTTGTAATCTACAAATTTATAATAAAAATCCTTGCATGTATCACACCTTAGCTCTTAAAAAAAAAAATAAAAAAAAAAATAAATATAATACCAATATATATAAAACAATCAATTATAAAATAATATTAATTACTTTAATAATTTCATAAAATACTATAGCCTCAAACATCATCCTACAGATAGGTGAAACCTGGGTGTTACATAACTAACCAGTTCTTAATCAGCATATGCAAGATTGTTAACAATTATGTAGTAACTTTATAAAATTACTTAAGCAAATATTAATATTTTATTCTTATAGATAATAACTCTTATATAGATTCTGTGCATAACCTTCATGAGATCTTCACGCTACTTTTATGAAATCTTTATAGATCCTTTGATGAATTTTTGATAAGTTCTTTTTAAAAAAACCTTGAGAAACTTTTTTTTTTTGTATGTAAAATCTTATATAATTTTGCAAATTCTTTTTTGTATCATCTAGTAGATTTTTGAGATATGGCCTTTCCTTTGACCTGTTATATAATTTTCAATATACTTTAACAATCCCTTTGCATAGTCCTTGCAATAATCTTCATAATGAACTCAAGTTTATTTCATATAATCTTTATATATATTTACTGATTCTGTGTAATTTTAAGCAAACCTTTATAGAATTTGAAAAGAGAAGAGCAATGAAAATAAGAAAAAATTATTCAAAAAAAGTGGCAAGAAGTGTTTTTCTTAAGAAAAAAAGCAAAAAAAAAAGAAAACAAGAAAAAATTTTAAGAAAAGAATAGAATAAAAGAAGTATCTGCTACTATTAAATATAATATTTTATATTATGACATATAATATTTCATGTTAAAGAGTTATAAATAAGGTATTTGTTTATAATTAATAAAGAAAAACTTTATTAAATAAAAGAGAAACTAGACAACTTTGTTTTTTTCCAAAGAAAAAAGTGCTTTTTTATATACTGTACATGTTTTTCTAATATAAATAAATATAATAAAAATACAAGTCTAAAATAGTATAAAAAAAATTCTTTCCCACTCCTCTTTTCTACGCTTGAAAATTTCCTTTTTAAGAAATTTTTGAGTTGTTTATTTTTTCTTTGTCTTCCCTTTTTTCTTTTCTCTATGCCCCTTCCCATACCTCTCTATTTTCCTTCTGTTATCTTCTCCCCACTCTTCTATATACTTTTTCTTTTTACTTTTATCTCTCCCTTCTGTTTTTCCCTTTTTTTTCTGCCAAAGCTAAGTTTTTTCCTTTTCCCTGAAGGTTTTCCTTCCTAGGCCTCTCTCTCTTTAAAAAACTCCATCTCCATAACATCATTCCTCTAGCCAGTTGACTCACTTTTCTCAAGGACTATATTAAGAAGCGGTAACCTTTCTTAGGACGTGGGCTTTAGAAATTTTTCTCTCTTCCATGGCTCCTCAGAAAAAGAACAGATGACTTACCCCTCCAAAAGATTAACATAATTATCATTACCAAATCCGGCATTGTTTACCGATCAGCAGTTAGACTAGATACGCCCAAGAAACCTCTATACAACTATTATTATCTGAAAGTATTCAAGGAGTTGCACCCCACAGTATCCAGAGTGAAATGGCAGCCAATGCCAATGCAACTAGCAATAAGCTAGGTTAGTTGCAAGTGTTATGCTAGTGATTGGGGAACTTAGTAGGGTAATACGTGATGACCAGGGATTCTAGTTACCTCCACAACACGAGCTGGTGATAACAACAGAAGTTTCTTGCTCACCTTTTCGACAATATAGGTCTATTGTACAAGATTAGGTTCTGGTGCCATTAAGAAAACCAATAAGAACTCCACCCATAGGACACTTCTGCCATACTTGAAGTATGGGTGTACCAAATCCGTTTTGTGACTTGGAGGCAAACCTGTATAAAGTGGCTGTAGCATCTTCATACAAAAAGGTACTTATCTTCTACCACCTCCAACACTACTCCGCTTGCCATACATCAAGCCATATTTGGAAAGCAGGTGTGCCAATCCTAATCATGACTTGGAGGCCAACCTGTATAGAT